GCTTTAGGGCGAATGTGGCTTTAGAAGGGGTTCTTGCCCACCTCCAAGCAAGGAGAATCTTCAAACCTTGAAAAGTGATTGTGAATACAAATCAGATGCATTTAATCCTGAAGTTTAGATGAAACATTAGACTTTCTTTCTCAATAGTTGTATGAAATGTTGACATGCAATTGAAATGCAAAAATATTTAGGGATTTTGCCCATTATGAAAATTTCCTATATATTTTACAAAAATATTTTTATTTACTTTATGTAGGTTTGTACAAGTCTGTATATGCTGTTTATCAAATTCACTACTTTTTATTAAGTTTATTTTAAAGCACTGTGAACAGGAACTATTTTTTTCCAGCGTACCTCAGTCTTTATATACAGGCATCACTTCTGAGGCAGATATATTCTGGAGTGGTCTCTGTCATTTTGCGAACCTGGTCTTCTGTTCTTTCAGACATGTTGTCAATTGTAGTGATAGTTCTAAGAGTAGTTCCTTAAGCCACCAAAAAGCAAAGAGATCTGGCTTCATATAAGAAACAAAGCATTTATCACAAGATAATTTTCAGTTGCTTTAGTACTTAACCAGTACTTAGCCAGACTTTAACTGGTGATTCATTTGTAGAAGCCTTCTTAACACCAGAGTCCTAAGCTATTAATTGTCCTATCCTAGTTCTAATGTAAGTGCACTAACAGGATGCACCTAAAAACCAGCCCACACTGGACACCAAACTCCGAGTGTAGACATACCCATAGTGTTCTTTGGATTCATCTTATGACTTGTGGCCTACAAGTCTCAATGACTACATTCTAGAAAAGTAGTGCACCAAATGGAAATGTCTTCCTACTGGATTGGTAAGAGCCCCTCAGGTATCACTAAGCATATTTCATTACGCCCAGGTCTCCCCTGAAAGCAACTTTTTCTTCCTTTAATAATATCTAGTATAAGAAAGGCAGAATTCTATCAGTTGTATATTTAACAGATAAATACCAGAAATCATAACCAACTTTCACTTTTAAGAAAGTGAAAGCTGCGATTTTACCCGCAGTGGACTGAGAGGCTGTTAGCATTTTTCCCAAAAGAAGGGATACAAAAAGAATAGAGCAAGTCCACATTTGAACTTCTTATATGGGAATGTAAAGGTAGACAATGATAAGAGCAACCCAAGAGAAGAAACAAGCTCCTTCTCATCTGTGAGGCTGTGAAAGCAAAATAATAATAATAATTTTAACAGAAATGGATGGGGGATGGCAGAAGGCTGCACGGTTCCTGATCTATTTTCCTTCTACTGGACAAACAGCATGAGCGACATGGCGGCGGGCTGCAGGCATTAGGAAGACATGGCTTGCTCCAGCATGTACACAGTGGTGGGGAAGAAGGAGCACCAGTTCAGAAGTCAGCAAGGATGAAAAGCAAGATTAACGGACTATTACAAGTTTGCTTTCTGGCATCCTTTTTTCTCCCTAGGGTATAAGCAAAAACCTGTTAAAATGTCAGTTTAACCCACAGCCGCTCATTCTTATCCACTCTGGCCTCTTACCTAGCTCTGTCCAAACCTTTCCACCATCCTGCCAGCCTGTCACTAGTGCTGGCTCCTTCAAGCCGTACGTACCTACGCCTGTAGCTGCTTCCATCTCACTTCGCAGGCAAGGCTAACCCGCCGGCAGACCCCGCTGTGCCCCGCGCGGTGCTTTCCGAACACCTATCCCACCCGTGCCTCTCCACACAGTTCAGCTTACGCGTTACACTCCGGATTGCCTCTCCTCTTGAGAGACCTTTAGCAATTAAGTCTGTCTTGTCACGCCATAAGAAAAGCTGATGAGTGCCTGTCTGGTGAGCCCCGGGCGCCGGCGGGCACACCGCAGGCTCTGTTCCCCGGGGAGGCGGGGGGACCGGCCCCAAGCGCAGGGGTGCAGCCCCAGGCCCCCGGGCCGGCCCCCTCGGC